CTCCCTTTGACCATTTCACAAGTTGTGTGGAGAAGTTCTTAGGAAAGTCAAGTGTTTTGTGCTTATGCCCATCGCTTCAGTATTGGACCAGGGTCTCATCAGGTATTAAAAGCATAACCAAAAGGTGTGTCTGTATGTGTTGTTTTCCTTTGTGCTAAGTATTTGGTTTGTGTTATGTTTACCATTGCTGCAAATCTTCCTCTCCTGGCCTACAAAACCAGTGCAGAGTCATAACTGTAGAACCTGAGAAAAGAGGCTGAAAGAGACTTAAATGTTACATCCCTGCTAGTGAATGAAACGGTGCCAAAGTCCGTTCTTGGCGGCCAGTCCAGCTAGTACCGTCTGTCCATATCTATTCTATAAAGCTCTCTTAACCTTTAAAAAAAGGTGACTACTTCTAAAGTGCCCATGGGAGTAGTCCCCGGTCCATCTTATCTCATTGGCTGTGCCTGGGAATTGTTGGGAGAGTGCTTATTGGCCTGTGCCTAAAGTGTACCGGAAGCAGAATTTGTAATTTAAATAAATTCAGTATAGATGACCAAATTGTAATGGTCAGGTCTGTGATGTGGTATGGTTGGGTTTACTGCTTTGGACACAGGCACAGTGACAGTCTCTGTTCCAAAGATTACAATTGCCTGTTCCTAAACCAGTCCCAACAGCTGTTTGTCCTGCTCTTCAAAATTTTCTGTACTGGAGATTTCATATCTTCCAGAGTAAGAATTCTAATTACCCTTACAACATGCTACTTAAATCATATTGTTTTGTTTTGGTTTGGTTTGTTTTTTTTTCCCCAAAACTGTCTGTCTTTAAAGCATGTTGAATAGCACTTGTATCCCTAATTAATTTGGATGTGTGTGGTTATCTGGCCTGTTACTCATTGTGTTGTGGCGCCTGAGGAGACATTGGGTCTTCCAAAAGGAAAAAAAAAAAGGCCTTTAGTTCCTCTGACTTCCAGTATTTTATTATTTTACAAAACAAGGTAAAAAAAGATGACATGGTATTAGGGAAGAGCTGGGCTGTAAAAAGCAGGCCAAAAGGGTGCAATTACTAGCTTTTTCAGTGGAATTAGGACATAGTCTGGTGTACCTGCGTGAAAGAAGTGGATTATCTAGCGATGGTGTGTTTGATCTTACTGTGGCATCCAGTAGAGCAAGACTTTTAAGAATTAACTTTGTTAGGTCAATCTTTGCTAAGTTAATAAATCGGTTAAGTAATAAGGGAACACCTAGCTATTTATTTTTCACTTATTTTTCCATGAGATGATAAATTCTGAAAAATCACTGCTGTCTTTAACAATCAAAAGAGTTGGAAATTTTCTGAGCTTCCTGGCAGGTGATGCTACTTAAATTAACATTAAAAATTACACAAGAAAATACTTTTAATTTCATAATAGATGCATAATATAGAGCTGTGGAGTGTCTCCTGGCAAAGAACAAAACTCAAGCCATTTGAAAATCCTGACAGAAGCAGTACAGAACGTTCTCACTTGCTGCAAGCTTAGATCAAAAGGATCCTGAATTTTCACAGCAACAAAAAATATCCTATGCTATGTCCACTAGCACGGTATGAGAACAAGTGTTTTACTAAAATCAGTATAATTAACAGGCAGGCACTGGGAGTTTAACCCATGATGTAAGCTCATGTTTACTGCTGAAGTTGCCGCTGCCTGGTTAGTAAGTGAAAGACTTCTTGGAGTGGCCAGAGTAAAATGTTGCTCCAAAACCACGTGCAGTCTCTCTGGGGTTTGAGGAATGCTGGTTTCCTGGAGTACTGACATAGTATGGACTGACTTTAGGTTTAGAGTATAAACTTACAGACCTCAGTCTCCAAACAATCTCAGCTTTGGTTGGCGTGTATAAAAGTCAGGGTAAAGGGCCTACAACCATCAGAGTCCAATTTCTGAACTCTCCCCCATTTTAACTACAGCATCTTTTGTTCCCTACATTTGAAATATAAAGCTATTTTTGTCTGTTTTCCTGAGGAAGTGGGGTTTAAGTGATTAGTCTGCCAGTCTGTTTTTTAATTCCGCTGTGATTTTATTGCACAGGCCAGGTTCAGCCCAGCTTGAAAGGAATGTCCATCACCAGCTGACAGTTTGAATGTGGCACTTTCTTTTTAAGGGATAAGAGATTTTCACTGTATGGAAGCAAGCTGTGCTCTGCCAGTTGGCCTCAGAGCTCGATGATGGTGTCTAACTTTTTAAATTCACGAGTATAAAAATAATCACTGTGTCCTAAGACAGGGCAGGCAGTGCAGCTCAGATTTGTTGTGAACCAGAATAGTGGCAAAATTCTCTGTTTAGCAGGAGACCTGCTGGTGTAACTTGTCAAGAGGATGTGTGAGTCCTCATATTTGGATTGTTTGCCCATAACTCTTCTGAACAGTGGGGTGTATGTACTGGCCCAGCAACTCCTTCCCCACCAAGGAAGTTGTGGCTGTTTTGCACCTAGAAATTTTGTTGCTTCAGCAGACTAAGCATTAACTGGAGTGAACTACACCATGTAATTTTGAATCTAATTGTAGCCATCTTTAAATTTAATCTTAACTCAGAAAGAAATGTGTTTCTTATTGTTCTTTAGGTTAGGAAAATCCCCAGTAGAAACTGCAATATTTTTCCAAAACAAAGTGATAATTTTATGTCTGTCACCTTGGAGGCTCACTTCTGAACTTATGTCTGTGCCTGTGTGGTGCCAACTTTTTAAAGAGTTCAGATGATGGACACCAAGATAATTAGGGGGCTGAGAGTTTATGACTTAAAAGGAGAGGCTGGGAGAGCTAGTTTTGTTCAGTCTTTGGGGAATTCATTTACTTCTTGGAGGGTACAGAGGAAACAGAGCCAGAACAGGTGCACAGTGACAGGACAAGAGGCAACAGGTACACGTTGCAACAAGGGAAGTTCAGATTAGATATCGGGAAGAAAATTTTCTCTGTGAGGACAGGCAAACATAGGAACATGAATGCAGGGAGGCTGAGAAATCTCCATCCTTAAAGACATTGAGAGCTCAATGGGACCAAGGTTGTGGGAAGCCTCCAAGTTGGCCCTCCTTTGGGCAGATTTTTGGATCAGGTGACCTCTAGAGGTCTGTTCCAACCTGTTGTTCCGTGACACAGCATAGGGTGCGGCGATGTATAATAGGAGCCCAGAAGTGCTAATACTAGTTGAATGCTGGACAACTGAATATATTTGCCCTTTCTGCCATGAGGTTTTTGTGTGATGTCTTTTCAGTAGGTGGCATTTTCTAGATGCCTGAATTGAGGGATGTGCAAAAATGTTTCTCCAAACAGTATTTAGGGATTGTTCATTATTCGATAACATCTTGTATACTAAATACTTCAAAAAAGTCACTTTGTTTCCAAAGTTAGTGCCTAGTTTTAATCTTGATCTTTTTGTGATTCAGCTCCCCAATTGTCAGATGGGGAGACCATCATCGCTTTTCAGGGACAATGAGTGATGATTATCACAAAGTTCAAAAGAACATTAATTCTTCCTTCAGAGCATGGTCTGTGTCCTGATACCCATGTATTGCAATAGAAACAGAGAAGAAAGCAAAGCTTCAGTCCATTCTATATGGAAGGACTTTCAGAAAAAAACTGACAGGTGATCATCAATTAATTAGAACTACTATGCATGAAAAGACCGGCTTAAATTATAGCATGTCCTAACTTTCAGTTTTTTTACTGTAATGCTTTCACTGGATTCTTTTAATAGTTTTTTGTTTCTAAGTATAAATCAAATTTAAAAATTGGAACTATTTTTACAGCATTTCACACATCTTTTTGTTGTTTATGAAAGAACACAGCTGAAAGAGAGTCTCTGTTGTAGCAGATGATGCTGGTTAACACATGCTGCGCAGCTCAGTGCAGTGACTGTCTCTCAGACTGAGCTCAGTTCTGTTCTCATCACCAGCCATGGAGCTTTACTGCTGCCTGCTCTGCAGGCAATCTTTTATTGATGTCCAGGTGATGTAGTCCAGCTTAGCAATGATGTTCAGGTGGTGTAGTCCAGCCTAGAAAAGAACTTTGGGAGGCATACGCTTTATACAAAGACTTCTCTGAAATCAGTATCTTAGAATCTCTAAGAGGTGTTGGAAAAATAGTGAAAACAATAAACATTGGAAGTCCTTAAAATCTCTACTGTTCAGGAAATTATCTGCGTAAATTCATTCATACTTTGAGAGTCCTTGAATTTTTGAGTATGTCTAAGTATGCATGCTGTCCTGTCTAGGGTACTAAGTGTATTAAGGGAGCATAAACAGAGTCTGCATTAACAGAGGAGAAGCAGGAAGCTTCAGGGGAGCAGGGGAAATAAAACCAAACACTTCAGCCATCAACACATGCCTAATTTTTAATAAACCTGCTGATGCTAAAAGGCTGTTCTAAAACAAAAATGGTAAAGTTGCATTAGGAGGCACTCTAAAGATCATGTGCTCTGGATTGAAGGTTGCTTGTCAAACCCTAATGCATATCAATCGTGCATATGCATTATAATAATCTTTTAATGGGAGAAATCTCTGTAAAGTGGGAAAATAGCCTTTGACTTCAGAGTAGTGGAAAATTAGATCTGCTTAAAACCATTTACTTTCCCTGACCTTAAAAGCCTGTAGAAACACATGAGAAAAGTGTATTTATTGTTCAGAGCACAATAAATGACAGGAAGATATGTGATTTTGGAAGCAATGCTTTTTGGAGATAATTGGAGATATTTATGAGCTGCAGAGTGTAAAAGTCTGACAGTAGTTTTGAATGCAACTGATTTTACAAACTTTTGAAAGTTGTTACAATTCTCTGACTTACAAGGTCTCCTTTGCTTTTGTCTTTTAATAGCTCTCTACAAACACATGTCAGCTGTAAATAAATCAGGTGGGAAATCATGATTCTATGTGAAGTTGTTAATTTGTGAAACAGAAGAATAGCCCACTGCTGGAGTCTCAGTCTGTCAAATGTCTCTAAAATATAAAGCAGGAATCAAAATCTTATTTGTTCTATTTTTTGCCTTTCAGGTCCAAACCATGAATTACGTTGGACAGTTAGCAGGGCAAGTGTTTGTAACTGTGAAGGAGCTCTATAAGGGAATAAACCCAGCCACATTGTCAGGATGTATAGACATAATTGTTGTACGTCAGCCAGATGGAAATCTTCAGTGTTCCCCTTTCCATGTACGCTTTGGGAAGATGGGAGTCCTACGTTCTAGGGAGAAAGTGGTAAGAAAATCAACAATTTTAATGTGTTCTGTCTGTGGGGTAACTGTAATGGTATGAAAGTTACTGAATGTTCTGTGGTATCCTAGTCAAGGTTTTCTTTAGATACTCTTTACAAAGTGCCCCAGTTGAGGCTAGATTCAATTAAAATGGTTGTTACTGATTATTGCATTTGAAAGCATACTTTTTAAGACATTGTTTACAATAAAACCAAAACAAACCATGAAATTTGTAACATTTATTTTCAGTAGAGCAAAATTTTGAATGTGCTGATTTGGGTTTATAATAGATCCCTTTGTTTAACGTGTTCATTGATCGTTAAAAAAAGAGAGTTAATCATGAAGTAGTATTTTCAGATAACAGAGTGTTGAGTTTAATTGAAGCTAGAAAAAGCAGTGAGGACCTTTAGATAAATGTAACCAAGCTGAATGACGTCGCAATATGGTATCAGATGTGAAGTTGCCAGTGAGTAATGCACCACAGATTGTGTTAGGAAATAATTTGTAACTACATATAGTCTAGGTTCTAATGTAGCTATAATTGTTCAGTAGAAAGATGCTAATATCACCATGGACATCATTCAATTGTTATGTGAATTAGAAAAGAATACCAAGATTTAGGATGGGTAGAAGTTGAAAATGTTACTGTGCCAATAAAATGTTACTGTGTCCTGAAATATAACATAAATATAAGCTTGTCCCAGTCTCCAAAAAAACCCCAAACCACCAGTGAAAATGGAGTTTGTGGCAAGGTTGGTTATAGGCAGAGAAAGATTCTCCTGAGAAGAAATGGAAATAGTCGGGTCTGCACAGCGGTGAGATGAACGTGTGGAAGACATGGACAATTTTTCTTATTTGTGCTTCTCATAGTGTAAAGAGAAGCCTGTCTAATGAATTTGAAAGACATTATATTAAAATTTGCATGTGGGAGTACTTCTTGCACAATACAAGATTAGGCTATAAATCAAAAGAGCAAAAAGATTTATGTGGTGAGTGAAGCATTCAGAATTACATTTAAAAAGATTCAGAACATTATATAAGAGCTATAAAACTTCCTGAGAAGAGGAGTGAGCCAGCAATAGGTTGAATGAGTTAGAAAAACATTCTGGCAACTGATGGCCTTATGAAGGGGGAGAGAAACAGAGAAGTTCATGATTTTATGTTTATTGTAAGGTTTCCTACACTTCCCTGAGAAGCATTTGCCCAGTGACAGGGAAGGGATAGCTGAACAGGAACTGTGTACCCAGAATAACTTTCTCTTCATTTGAGAATATATTTATTTTCTTCCAGGTTGACATAGAAATTAATGGAGAGGCCGTAGATTTGCACATGAAACTAGGAGACAATGGAGAGGCCTTTTTTGTGCAAGAGATGGATAATGATAAGGTAAGAGTCAAAACTAATTTTA